TTTTCTGGGCTCTTGGGTCGTCAGCCTCCGGGCCGCCCCCCTGACCTTTGTGTGAACTGTTTTTCCTGGCCGCCTGCGCCTGTTGTGAGCCTGTGTTTTGTTATGTTGCTTTCCGGGCTCCGGTGTTTGCACTTCTTTTTGGTTCTGGCTCCTTGTTTGGTTTGTTTCGAGCCCTTCATCCTGTTTCCCCCACCGCCCACCCTGGTTGGGTTGTTTTTTGTTTTGGTGTTTCGGTCTGACAACACTGACAACAGTAATATATGAACTCAAAGATGACATCAGTGCAGAAGAACCTTAATAGACTCTGTGCACCTTAGCATGTGCTACTTCTGGTGGGAAAACTCCTGCAGGGCACTTCGTTTCCGGTGTGATATTCTTGTCTTGTTTACGGTCGGGTTTTCCAAAAAAGTCAACCAAATCGACGAATCAAGCAGTGATTTAAATTTCTCAAGATGTCTTGGGCATTTACCGAGTATATCTCTAGATGATGTTCATTGACTTGTCAATATTTTCTCTCGCGCCTCCGAACAAAAGTCAGTATTTGTATACAGCGGTCCCTCGTTTATCGCGGGTGTTATGTTCTAAAAATAATCAGCGATAGGTGAAATCTCAGACGTAGCCAACTTTATTTTTTACAATTATTTTAGATGTTTAAGGCTGTAAAACCCGTCACTACACACTTTATACACTTTTCTCAGACAGGCATGAACAGTTTCACAGTTTTCTCTCTTGTTTAAACTCTCAAAGTTCAAACCTTCGTTAAAAAAAAAAATCCATTATAGAATGAAACCAAAGATCAAAACCTGCTTTCAGTCCCAAACATTTATTTGAGAAATAAACATACAGTGTAGTTGTTTTGCTATAAATAATAATGACAGCTTTTAGAACTAATGAATTTAACTTTAAGCATAATTGCTTAATTTAAGTTTAATGCACTTTATAATCCGGTGTGCAGTATGGTTAAAAAAAAACCAAAATACAGTAACTTCTACCATCTGTTCAGAAGTCAAACTTTTTGTGCGATGTTTAGCATCTCCCTCTGCCCTTCGGATGCTACTGCAGGTGCCTTTGACGGTGCAAAACATTTCATCGACATTGTTGTGTTTGTTGGGGAGAAAACTTACAAACATACAGTGCAGCACTTCAGAGTCACACTGCAAGTGATCGATATAGCGATTCTGTACTGTACAGAAGAGCACGGCACGGAGATCGACAGTGGTCTGCAGATCAGGACGCAGAACACACTGCGAGTAAAAAATAAATAAATGGTAAATGGCCTGTATTTATATAGCGCTTTACTAGTCCCTAAGGACCCCAAAGC